AAGTATGGGATGTATACAGGTGGAGGCGCCAGCTTTATATTCAGATTTTACGTACAATAAAGAGGAATAAACGCAGCCAAGCAAGTAAACACGGTCCCTGAGACCGTTGTATCAAAGTTAAAAATACCGAAGTCCTTTGCATATCAAGCAGGCTCTGGATGGAATACCAATTAAATGGAAGCTAGCGATGGGAATAACCAATGAGCGCTCATGATAGATGACACCATAAAACTACTGTTCGTGGACAATTGCCATACCTGCGGGTTCGATACGATGTTCGCATTCTCCTGACAATCCAAGGTTTTTATTGTTTTTTTCTTGACAGTAATTGGACTGAAATGAGTAAGCATGTTGGTTAGTCCACTAAAACCGAACAGAATTTGATGCCTCACGGAGAAATAGATTCGCATTTGTAAGGCTATTAATGTAATTAAATTTGAAACCAAAACTGATCCTTGTGGAGCACCAACGTTTACGTAGAAGTCAGAAGGCAAACGTTCGGTCTTGGTGTTTTACGCGCAGGGACATCATTTAAATATTTTAATTTTCAGGGTACTACATGCTACACAGGGTGTTAGCTAAATGTCTAGCCAAACTTCAAGTGTTTGGACAACATAGACGAGTAATTTCACACAAAAGGTCGCAGTTCGCACGAGTCAAAATTAATTCATGAATTGAAACAACCAAAATTAGAGCATTTTGGTAAAATCTTTACAAAAATCAAATAGTTTTGGAATATATTTAAATTTGTCAAGAGATTTTAACAATTCAGTAAACAACAACGTAGGAGAAAGGAAAAATGGGTGCCGGTGTCCGCATCTACCACATTCCGTGGAGCCTACCTAACCAATTTGTGTACAGTACCAGCTGCTAATCAACTTTCAGGATCGACTGTCAGAGCCAAATTCAACCTTCCCCACGCTACTGTTTCTTTGTTCTTTCAAGCTGCTTGAATCTGGCGACGTTCAAGTGAAATAAACCGGATTGCTAATTCAATCCAATCGCTTTCTAGTTGCACCACGTCGTCTCGTGGGCACATACCTCGGTACCACCATGCTAGGACAGTAACCTGTATACATACTCTCTGGTGCTTATTCGAAAATGAAGCATTATTATTATTTTCCGCATCTGAAATCATTTCTTGATGCTTGAGCAGATACCTCAACATTCTGTTTTGAAAATGAATATTGATTTATAGATAGCTGTGAACTAGGAATAATAAATTCTTGAGCTCTTGGAAACTGCAAACCACTTACAATCAATGGAATTGCTAAAATAATTGCAGTTTTTAGTTGTTCTTAAGTTTAATTTTAAGTGGCGATATTTCCAAAATACGATCTAGATGTTATAATGTTATCAGATATTACCCGATCCTGCAAGATGTGATGCCTTTGACCCCAGCCGTAACAGTTGTTTCTCATAACCATCAGTCACGTCTGTCTAGAATCTTCATCTGACCGTGGTGTTTTAATACTTGACCAGTGATTGACGTTATCTTTGATACATCAGTTGGTCTCCTAATGCGTTCATTCGGAATAGTGTTCCTACAATACTTTTAGATGAAGCATAGAAAGGCTTGAGAAATCTCTTAAATTTGGATAGCTAGAGTTTTAGAAATATCAGAATTAGTATATCTTCTGGAACCAAGGTTCTCCATACGGAATCCGATTATCACTCAATATTCCGTCCAAACCAGCTTGTCAACAATGACGTCAGCTGGATTGACTCTATACATCTCACCCCTTCCTATTCCAATATCTCAAAAAATAATGGGTTAAGTTCATTCAAAAGACTCAAATGGAATCAGAACTTGACAAGCTGTACTCACTTAAATAAGATATTATTGAAAGTAAATATATCATATTTCAGTTTCAATGACAAATGTATATAAAATATGTATGACTATTTCAGAAACTTGTTATTAATAGAAGGCCTTTCGTTGATACCAAAGATGTGACCCTTAGAACCACCAATTTTCATCCTCTTAAATGTATGTAAGTCTCTGAAACGTCGAAAAACTATCCTTTAGCGATTCTATATTTCCTCGTGTTGTGCTCGTGGTCATATAGTATTAATGGTATCACATTGTATAGCTGATTACTTTTAAATAATTGCTTGGATAATGAATATCGATTTTATCCAACAGTGTAACCCGAAAACTCATTTTACCTATGTTTTAAACATCATGTACGTTAACACATGTTATTATTGCACCAGTTTCAATTAATATAGCGAAAATATGAAACTGTTCATAGTCACGAACGCAATTACTATCGTGCCAAAAACAGAATTGCCAAATTTTGCATGTTATTAAAGTATAACGCATAATAATAAATAACATAACCTTATTTGCGGCAAATTACTAAATAGGAGAGCTTGAAATCGTGCCATACAAAATTGTTAATTTAATTTTCAGTAAAATTAAATTTTGAAGTCGATTGGTGTTTTTAATTTCTGGTTGCAAAATAATAAATAATCTTTTTTCAAATCGTTCTTTGATAGAAGCAGTTCAAACCTCATTTTTGCTGCTAAAGAATGGTCGTATTTAGGGCATTACAACGATTGAAAAGGCTTAGGTCAGTATTCATTCCTATTATTTCTGGTAAAGTCAACAAACAACAAAATAATGTTCGAATTCTTTATAGTAGCAGAATTACAAGAAAGGAGATATACCTGTATGTATATATTCGACAAACGAAGAGATTATCATCCTCTCACCAAATATATCACCGAACGTTATTATCAGGGTATCCAAAATCGACCTTCATTACGTTTAATATTTCTGCTTGATTCTTTGCTGCGTAATTTTCGAAATTTCTACTACCCGGCTCTGTTAACTATAAGCGCCAATACCCTCAACGGATCGGAGGTCAATTTCTGAAAGCTGTGGAGTAGAAGAGCCGGAAGCTAGTGGGAGAAAGTGTATTATTCAACGTTCACTTGATAAAAAAGCTGCCCTCCAGATTTTTCGTTCTATAAGTAACGAGAAAAGTCAAGGGAAGCTGGAATTTTTTGCACGAGTATAATAAGAAAACGACTAAACGGCATATCTGAAGGCATGCCCCTTGCATAGAATCAAGAAGACGGTTTCATTCACTATACAACATAATGTTCAAGAACATCTATGTTCAAGGTCAAACCTGTGAATTCATACTTGCTTCCTACATAGTACCACAGACCTCTGCACTATGGTCTAGACGTGCATGTGACTTTCTTCACATGCTCCAAGTATATGAACCATAAAAATCGTATTCAACTAATGACATACAATTCATCATAGTCTCCCGCAGCATTTTGTCAGGGATCTTAAGAGATTATAGCCCTCCAGAACATTTTGAGCAAAGAAACGTTTCAGCTAGGGTCAAAAGCAGCATGTTTAGCTTGGTTCAAATGCAGGGAAGCTTGTAAAAATTATATTAAACGTGATGATATTTCGATGATGATGATTATCCAACATCAATAAAATTGTTGCATTTGGATTAAAATTATGTAAAAAAGAAATACAAAGTTAGCTAAATTTGAGCAATGTTTTAACTATTTTTATAATATTGGAGTATACAAGAAATTGGTACTTAGAACATTTCAGAATACAAAGTATTTTAGGGAATTAACCGAAAATTTCTGAAATAATCAATTTTCCGAGCACGCGTTTGGTTCTAGTGATAAAAGAATGAAATGTTGAGAGGCTTCGTTAGAGAACAAAATGAGTTGAAATAGGGATTAAAAAAACAGCTATGTAACTACTTGTGAAACACGCCATATCATGAAATAGTTTCAGAATTATACCTCAAAATAGAGGTAACTTTTAAAATAAAATTATTATTTGAATCATTTGATTTTTTGACATCGAATAAGTTGAATAAACTCGAGTTTAACTATAATGATGATTTTTTTTAAAACTGGTGTACATGTAGTTCAAACCAATAAACAGTAGCATACTAGCATCGCATAGTAAGCTGGTTTTTCTTTTGTCAAATCTTCGTCCTGCAGGATTAGACGTGTAGTAAATGCACAGCGGAACTAACTGGCAAATATGTTTCAAAGTTGCAACAGAAAAGGATGAACCAAAAGGCGATTTTCGTGTACGTTGACGTTCCTTATCGTATTTTGAGGAGTGTCTCAATTGTTCCTAAATTAGCTGACCGAGATTATGCGCATTTTTATTCCCTTAGGGCGCGATGTTCTCGCGAAACTTTGGTAGACTCGAGATTGTTCGAAGCTCTCAGCCTTTTTGGTCGAAGTTGCATTTTTTGACCAAAACTCCGATATCTAGTTCGAGCCTTTGCCTTCTCATTATTACTGCGATTCATTTGTCTTCATAGTGTTGACACATACGGATGTCAGGAGAACCTTCCTCAAGTAACGCCAATCTATTTTGGTTCTTACAGGTATGCCTATAGAAAATACATTCCGTTTCAAGTGTCAAATTAACAATTTATGACCAGAGGTATTAAGTAGTAAATACGAGTATAACAATGTTCCTGACAATTCTAAATGATAAGAGTTGGCTGTTAGGGATCCTCAGGAAACGACTGCGCATTCGGTGGTGAAACTCCGAGTCTAAATTATTTGCGCTCACAACAATTTCATCCTACATATGTGAGAAATAAAACTGAAAACATTGTAAAATTAACAAGAACGAAACGCGAAAATCGTGTATGTAATTGGACGGAAAGTAATAGAACTATAGAGCAGTGGTTGGCATTTTACGGGCTCACTAACATTAAACGGCCGGTATATCGTAACTTCGTTAACTAGCGCGGAGTTACAGCTCAAAACTGCAGAAATTCGAATGTAGCCGGATGTCTGCTAAGCTGACTAGTGGGCTATTGCTGAAAAGCCATCGACGGGCGTACGGAAAAGTTGTGCAACTGGAGATTCATGGAAGAAAAGAGTTTCAGAACAATTATATCGTAACTACTTTGGAACTTTCTCCTGCACTACATTACAAGATTCGAATGTAGTGCTTATCTACAGATGGATCTGAGTATTTTTTTCAGATTCTTCAATTGCCAAGCCGTCACCTGTCAGAACAGTTTTTAGCTAAAGGTATTTTTAAAGTTTTCGGTAGCTACATGGACGTTTGCTTGTGTAAGCTTTCAGACGTATGTGCCGTGGTTTTGTCTCACTCTCACGAAAATGTCACCTTTAACGTGTCAGATCTTCACATTTATGATTGGCATTGTCAGTATGACAACTTGCTTGTTATGAGTGTAGGATGTTAGCTGACCTTTGTTGATTTTCGAAATAAAACATATAGCAGTACCTGAAGGTACAACCACAGCTTAGGTCCGTATCGTCAGTCGTCCCTACAATTGTAGGGTGCGTTTATGGCCTCTTTGATTGTCATAGTCTTTTCTCTCCTTCAAAAATTTCTAGATTACACTCGTCCCGTGTCAGCGTCAGCGCTCTCCTATTGTTAAGATATGTTTTCCTTTTAAATTGTAGGAAATTTCAGGCTGATACATGATATAATTCAAAAGCAAGCACAATTTGATGCAAATAGATGTTTGTGACATAACCTCAAAATAGAGCGCTGACACGGAGAAGTAGAAAACTATGACAATCAAGGAGGCCATAAAGACGCCCTACAATGGTAGGGACGACTGACGATACGGGCCTTAGATAACAATCAGCGATGAAACTCTTGTCACTGTCAAAGCGGCCGCCATTTCGGTAGAGCAAGTCGAATGTAAATTCCCCCAGTACAACGATGAAAGAGGTTTTAGTGCTCAGCAGTGTTGCCACGTACCCTGCTAGCGATCGTAGATATTACTTGCAATCGTAAAAATTTTACTATTCCGATATGATCTGTGAGAGTCAATAATAAAAAATATGTTTGTCCTAAAAGAAACGACGAAGTATTGATGACTGTTAACGAGAAAGTTTTAAAATGACCTGGCAAACTACAACAAACCTGACACTTCTGACGACTCCTCAGCTAGGATGCTTCTACATACACAGCGAATCGGTAGCTCCGATATTTTTCATACATAGACAATTTTTAAAATTTGTCGGCAACTATACGCTCCATACTTGAAAAATATGCCGCTCTCCACAAGGTGATTTATAATTACATGACAACACATACATTTTTTAAGTGAATGTGCTTAGTGTGAGCGTGCAAAATGATTTAGTTTTCCTGATGGACAATGTTTCTGAAATGCAATGGATTGATTATGCCGCAGCAGCGTAGAATACATAGCAAAAGTACAAACTTTTCCATTTACTCTAAGTACTTCCACAATTACAAATTTATTTAGAAGCCTTTCCTTAAATACATAGTCATCCGTTGCTTCTTTTACGACAAACATACTTCTTTATTATTGATTCACACAAACTACACTAGATCGTATCGAAATATTATTATTTACGATTGCAAAGAATATCTGCGACCGCTGGCATGATACGTGGCAACACAGGCTGCTGCTGGACACTAACACCTCTTTCATATTTGTACTAGGGGAATTCATGTGCGATTTTCTCCTCCGAAATGGCGGCCGTTTTTGATACTTAAAGGAGACCTTCATAGCTGATTGTACAACAACATTGTCGATTGTATGTGTTAAATTGACAAGCATTTTCAGAAAGTCGATAAAACAACGTTTCTCTATCACTCAATTCATGTTTATGTGTAAGAGCGGGTGTGCAATTTGTCTTAGTAGTAGTACCATAGCTTTAGCACAAACTCGGCATTATCAGCTAATTGTATTTCCATGCATTACTATGTTGTATAACGAAAATCAGCAAGACAATTCAAATTGCACGCCTATGTCAAGGAAGTTGTCACACTGAAAGTATCAAGCATAGTTGCGGAATACTATGCATTACGACAACAAATAAAAAAGTCCACACTCAAAAACTAAGAAAGAAATATACATATATATAGACCAGTATTCCATAACTTAAAAAGTGACATCAAATCCATTTTTTATGACATTATATAGGTTCGTCTTGAGATTAGTTTTCCTATAAAATTTCACCTTTGAACTAGCTGACATTCACTTCATGCTCGTTTATAGTAGGCCCGCACGGGTATCACGTATCTTGAAAAGTTACATTGTCGATTTGTTTTGACATTATGCTGTTTTTTTGACATTATGTAGGTTTTTCTACAAGATGTTAACTTAGCACTTAGTTGTACGTGTTGCCTAAACGTCATGAGGCTTGTTATTAATCTTTGGCTCTGATGTGAAGTAAAATCTGCTTCTGAGATGGCATTACTGGAGGTCTAAGCTGTAAGTTGTAAAACTAGATATTAGTTGCGCATACACTTTTTTCTGATCCATTCAGGAAATTCCATATACAAATTTGCCGAATTTCCAAAATGAGAGAGATAATTATATTCACTGTAGGCTGTCGAATTGCAAGTCATATATATGCTAACAGTAATTACACACAACGCGGGCGCGGTGATGATTTCCCATAATTCTCTTCAGTTTTTCGTAATTCAGAATGCACAACATAAAAATAACCCTTCGAGCACAGCCAATAGATATACTTCATTGGCAGCATATTCAGTAATGATTTTCTCACACAGCAAATATCACTGATTTTATACACATGCAGACCAATACGCATAATCATCCAGATGCGATCTTGCTATTCAACCAACTTTCTTCTCAGAGACAAAAACTACAGACAAGGACCATTTGGCCTCACGAAACGTATGCAACCAATAATTCGTGTAGTTTAGTTGAGTGATTCCACCTTAGATGGACGTTCACAATGATTCTATTGAGCAAACTTGGAATGACTGTTTGCGTCCTAAAAACTTCCTAGTTTGCAAGATGACATCTGATAGGTTTTTTTTGAAGTTTTATAGGTTTTTTTACATGATACCCATGCTGAAATGAACTAGAAGCACACTAGCGGCACAAGTTGATATTATACCGAATTTGCTGACATTATACTGCAGTTAAAAAAAATATTTTTTATGTATTTGTTAGCAAGACCTTTGGTATTCCTTAGCCCGGATTGCAATGTGTATGGTTGGTAGTCTCTCAATCCCGTATTCAAAATCCGTGCCATTTCCAATTTTCCTGACCAGTCCTAGCGTAGTTGTTAACGTGTATTGTGAATAACTCCTCACTTATGATGTGGTACCAAAACGGACATAGCGGACGACCATATGATAAATGCGACTCAAGAATGACGCATCGCGTAAAGTGCTGCGGTAACGTTATCTATTACATGTATGACTCACGTTTTCAATTTGTTGTTATTTAGTTATCGATACCAACTATAATCTGAGCATGGCTCGTCATTTCGCTTTAATTTAATAATGTAGGAAATACTTTTTTAAAAGATAAATGGACCAACTGTATGCTAGACAACTTTTTTGATGCGTCCAAGTTTATTCCACAGAGTAAAGGAAATTTACGAAAAAATAATATAAGGGACATTCGGGTCAAGCTAGGAAACGTGAAAGAAAAAGGTCCATGCAGATCCATAGCTTATCATTTTTCATTATTTTCTTGGGCAACTCTAGCTAGATCGAGAAGCCCCATGAACCGAAATTTTCCCCTGCCGCGCCATTGGCTGCACTCCGCGCTCGGGCTCTAACGGAATTAACGGCCTTTAAAACGTGGCTAACTAGATTTTGCAACAGTGTCGCTGTGGAACGGGTAACTTGACGAAGTTGCAGTCGCACATAATTCTGCTTTGAGAAACTGCTGTCACGTAATTGCAGTTTATGCGATTAATATCCGGACTTTGGTCAAAGCCTGCGAGTTTCTGTGACCGCTGTACGTATTAACTTTGACATGGAAAATAATATTTATCGGCGCCAGTTCCACACGCGTCATTTGCATCTGTGTCGGTTAGGTTTGTCAATGTGCGAGAGAAACCGCTGTGTATAAAACATGCTCAACAGCGTGACTCTCACCTCAAGCAAAGTTTACAGGATGGGAACAGATGAATTACTGGCAATAAACGGTCTTCTAAAGCTGTGTCAGAAGCCTTCCTACTCGTAGATATAATTTGTTTTGTGTGACGGATTACTCTATTTTTGCCGCTGCAGATCTACTTACGGTGGTCACTGTAAGTGTAAGAACACAGTGCACGCGAGATTCTCGCTTACCGGTAACCTGCGCCATCTCGCGTTTATCGCTTTAAGAATTATCACGTGTATTCATATGAACGTACACACAGTGAAAACAGGTTGCAGCAGGTCCGCGCGGATAACCTGCTCGCAGGTGCTCACGGTATTCAAAATTTAGTTTATTTCGGCTTTTGTCGCGCGAGTGAGTAGTATATTGTGATGGATAAAGAATTGCTTATTGCTGCGGTGTTTGAAAGAACAGCTATTTGGAACAAGAGGGATAAGCTACATAGCAATCGCAATGTGGTTGACAGATACTGGAAGGAAATAAGCATTGAAATAAAACAGGATGGTAAGTACCTAGGTGTATTTGTAGTAATATTATTTACATTATATTGCAGTATTATTTGAAAAGCTTAATCTAGGTTTTGTATGACAAAGTATTGTGAGCAAAATATGTTACAAAAATATCGCGAATATTTTTAGCGTCATTCAGAGGTCTTCCCGTCGCTTTTTTACCTGTAGTTTCTGTGCAATTTTCGACAGATACTTCACTAAGATGTCTTTCGAAACCTTCCTTATCAATAATTGTGTTATGTAGAATGCAAATACATTTAATAATATTGTCAGCTGTAGTAATATTGGTTTCAATACATTTTGAAAGTATACGCCATTTTGCAGTGATTATACCAAATGTACATTCTATGGTTTTTCTAGCACGAGATAGGCGTTTATTAAAACATTCCTCCTCAATACTCAAATTTCTTCCACCAAAAGGTTTCAAGAGGAAAGGCAGGAGTGGATATGCCTCGTCACTTATTAGTACAAAAGGCGCCTTGGTTTTTGTTTGCGGAAAATTGCATGGTTCCGGAATTGCTAGTGTGCCATTTTTTAATTGACGATATAGTTCGGAGGCCTGAAATGTACCGCCGTCACTTTGTTTACCGTAACCGCCAATTTCTACAACAATAAATTTGTAATTAGCGTCCGCTACGCCCTGTACAACAACAGAAAAGTAGTGCTTATAGTTATAAAACATTGATCCTGAATTTTTAGGACAAACAATGCGAACGTGTTTGCCGTCAATGGCTCCAATACAGTGTGGAAAATTCCAAATATTATTAAATTCTTCTGATATCCTTTGAAAATCTTGTTTCTTCGGAGTTGGCATATGAATAGGCTGTAGTACATCCCATATTATACAAACTGTTTCTTGAACTATTTGTCCTACGGTTGAAGCGCCAAGTCTAAACGAAAATCCAATTTGTTTGAATGATGATCCAGTTGCTAGATATCTGTAATTAAATCAGGATAAAAGTCCAAAAAATACTCATGACTTCATTTAAATTTAATTAACACGGGCTTAATTTTGTAAACTGTGATTGTGACTGTCATGAAGAAAGTTGTAGATACCTAGAAGTATTCTATTTTTATTTTTTAGAGGCCAAGATCAGAAAGCAATGGAAGTATTTGCGGGACCAGTTCTCCGTTGAATTAGGAAAACTCCCCCCGCCAAGGTCTGGAGACGCTGCCGAAGATCTTCCTACATCCAAATGGCCGTATTTCACACAACTTCTTTTCCTAAAGGACGTGATCAAACCGAGGGCAGCCAGCGGCAATTTATCGATGATGCAGTCAGCTCAGTCCACACAGGAGACAGAAGAAATTCAATCTTCGAACGAGAATAGCGATAATGAAGAGTCTTCTCGAGAAAGTGAAGGTTGCGTGGTACCGCCTACTCCTATTTCAAGGAAAACGAATCCTACCTCAGCATCCATTACGGCACAGAGAAAAAGGAGAACTGCTACCGATGCATATCAAGAATCAATGCTGGAAATAGAAAAACGCAAAGTGGAATATCTCGAAAATAAGGCCAAAAGAGGTTGCAATGATCAAGATGACGAGCATATGTCATTTTTCAAAAGTTTGCTTCCACATGTAAGGCAAATACCTGCAAACAGAATATTATGTTTCCGTTCCCGCGTGCAAGAATTAGTGGATCAATTTTCCTACCAACATAACACCTTTTCTCATCTGTCATCTTCTGCATCATCCCATTGTAGTGCGCCTTCTCCTTATAACATAGATCAGAATAGCTGCGCGCCTTCTCCCAACTATCATAACATACAAGAAACTACGCATTCGTCCATTCCCTTAAACCAACCATCAGTCATGTTTCAAAGTCTTCCCGCTACTGTTGCTAGGCTCCTTGATAATAACCAACAGCAAAATACAGGGTGGGGCAAAAGTCACGAAGGGATTTGAAAAATTAATAACTTTTTTAAATTTATTTTGTTTTCATTTTTTTTTTCAGGACCGTGTAAAATAAATCCTGGAGATTAATTATGGAGCGTTACAACCTCAATCAACGAACCAAACTTATAGAATTTTATTTTGAATATCACCATTCAATAATTCAAACTCAACGAGCATATCGTCGTCATTTCAATTTGCGGAATTCGCCCTCTGAATCAATGATTCGACGCTTAGTGGCACGATTTCAGCAACAAGGCACAGTTATGGATCTCCCACGAAGCGGAAGGCCACGTTCCGCAAGAAATGAAGGGAACATTCAACGCGTTCAGGAGAGTGTTCAGGAGAATCCGGAAACCTCAACCCGAAGACGTTCTGCTGAGCTGCAGATGTCTCAAAGGTCTTTACGCAGAATATTAAGAGGAAATTTACATCTGTTTCCATATAAAGTGCAGCTAGTGCAAGAACTAAAACCAGCAGATTTTCAAGAACGACTAACTTATGCAGTTCGCTTGCAAAGAATGGCTCGAGAAGATAATGAATTTATTCATTCTCTGATCATGAGCGATGAAGCCCATTTTCATTTGAATGGCTTCGTAAATAAGCAGAACTGCAGAATATGGGGTACCGAGAACCCAAGGGTGGTTCATCAAAGGCAATTACATCCGCTTAAATGTACAGTATGGTGCGCAGTTACGTCTCAACGAATTATTGGACCATTCTTCTTCGAAGACCACGATGGGAATGCTGTATCTGTAGATGGCGACCGATATCGTGATATGATTCAAAATTTCTTAAGACCAGCTCTTGCTGACAATCAAACGATGACTTTCCAACAAGATGGAGCCACTGCGCATACTGCTCGAGCCACTATGCACCTTCTAAGGCAGATTTTTGGCAAACGTTTAATTTCGAGAAATTCAGGATTCAATTGGCCCGCCCGCTCGCCGGACTTAACAGCCCCTGATTATTTCCTTTGGGGATATCTGAAAGGAAAAGTGTATATTAATAAACCCACAACCCTGCAGCAACTAAAAGATAATATTCGAGCAGAAGTAAGTGCTTTGGGGCCAGATATTCTGACTCGGGTAATGGAAAATGCTCTTGCAAGAGCTGCACTTTGCGAGGCTGAAAATGGCGGTCATTTGCGTGATGTAATCTTTCACACTTAAATTGTAAACAAACTCCAAACATTGCATTTTAGTTTTGTGTTAGGGAAAAAAATTAAAATTAAAATTTAAAAAAGTTATTAATTTTTCAAATCCCTTCGCGACTTTTGCCCCACCCTGTACAACTTATGTATCTTTATCATTACCAGAAAATGGTATCCATCCATGACTCAATATTACTGTACAACTGATAAAATCAATAAAACAATATTTGTAAGTATCTAACTGTTATTTCATTTTACGCTGCAATTGATTCACGTTTAGAGAAAAGATTCGATCACGAGGCAGGAAATCGACCAAAAAACAAACGTATAAACAAACCCTCAGACTAAAACGATGTTTAAACTCACAAAACTCACAGATCAAGTTAAGCCTGTGCAACAGAAATCTACAAATTGAACTAATTTTACGTCTAATCTCAAGTTAAGTAGAACTAGTGCTGGCGCAACAGGCCATTACTGAATGAGTATGATACTTTGAAAATGATTCTGATTATTTTTTCACGAGAAAACTTACCTTAAAGTTATAACAAGCCTTTCTTCTGGTAATATAGGTTGCTTATGCAGATTACACCAATTTTTGGTTAGACGATTTCCAACTTTCTCCAAAATATAATTGAATGTGTCCTGGCTCATTCTCATATACTGGAAGAATCTTTTATCATCTTTCTTCAAGCTTGGAAATAAATGATGGTATTCCCCATAAGTTATTCTTTCACGATTAATAGAATGTATTCCAACCCTTTTCCTTCTTACTTTGGTAGAAATCGACTCTAAAGCAATCAGATCATCATCAGAAGACGACATGTTGCTGCGAATAGATAAAGAACGCGACTAGCAAGTTTTTAAAATGATTTTCCTCGCTTTTACCGGCATCCACTCTGTGCTATCTCGGCGCGAGAAACATGCGCCAATCTGCTTCGACTACCGGTAAGCGAGAATCTCGCGTGCACTGTGTGTTTACACAATACGTCGAATCCGAGGAGGTGACCACGGAGAAAAATTTCTATCTCAGCATGAATAGATCTAAGACAATCGAAGAAGGTGAGATGGATAGACTATTCAAAGAGATTCAAGGTAATCCAAGTAAGTTCGAAACAACTCGAGTAGTCAAGGATATTTTCTATACCAGTCGGATGAGAAGAAAGATCTTTTGTTCTTCGCTACCATATGACGGCCGTAGGTTGAAAACTGTTCTTACTGATGTATAGCCTAGGTGTGCAATGACATCACCTAGTGGATATCGGACAGAAATGTTTGTGCCTGACACGAGCAATATAAAAATGAAATTGACCCAAATTTCACTATAGGGACATTGTCTGTCTAGATTGCACTGTCAGGCCGACAAAGTTTTCATTTTTGTCCACTAGGCGCTCTTGACGAATATACTCTGCCGGACCGGCAGCACTGGGTCTTGTAGGAAGATGAAATACGATAGTAATAAAATCCTTACTTTGACCTCAAACTGGCCGGCACGCTTTTTCGACGTTACGCAGTCTATGGTACACTGTGTCATTCTAGTCCCAGTCCTTACATGTCGCTGGTCTTGCCTAGATGGATAGGGAAGAGGAAAATGCAGGTGGCTGCGATTCTTCCGTCCGCGAAATTATTATTGTGATGCGTTTTCGATTCGTTTATTAAAGACTTTTGATGACTGTTATGTGAAAATTTAAGGCGGGTACGTGCAGATAATAGGTGAGTGAAACAACTTGATGTTACTGAAAATATTGCATTCATTTATATTTTATTTATGTGTACAACGAAACCATATTGAGGTTATGTAACATTCCAATAAAACCAAAATAACAGTATTTGTGGAATAACTAGCATATACCCACTGTTTCAGCAGAATAATTAAGGATAAAATTAAGAGAGCCTTGTGATAAAGCTTCTGTACCATATGAATCTAACTCTAAAATATTTTTATTAAACGTTAATACCTACTTACGATTGGTTGTAGCATCTAAATCTAAAATGGCATAAACATTAAACATGAAAAGTTAAATGGTCATCAAACTTCTGTTTACCTGTTTGCCTTTCAAATATAATAGATGTAAAAAAATGTCATTTCAAAATAGCACAGTATCCCAGACCTAGATGATGAATTTTTGTCTTTTGACTGCCAGGACTAGCACCAATGATCGGTATAAATAATCTCAAACTAAACTGGTTTGATCCAAGGGCGGATCTAGCCTTTGAGTCGGGGGTCACGCAATGGTTTTCCAAGGATATTTATATTCAGAGAGATGCAGTGGGGGATTCAAAATGGAAGAGAGGGGGAGGCTGCTGCATCAATGCTAAGAAAAGAAGGAATGATTTTGTGGTAACTAGCGAGCAGGGTGTCATCGGCAGAGTTACCACAAGCGAGATTTTACGTATAAAAAGGGCCAGACTTTTTCAAGATTAAACTACTCGATTTCAGATTTTTTTTGTACAAATAATTTAGTTCAATTTACCTATATCTTTATCTTGCTTGTAATGTACTTGTTACAATGGGTGTATTCAGGGAACTGTAGCGATGAAGCAATTTATGTCAAAAATGACAATTCTGATAGATATGTTAAAAATGACTGACTTGCCAAAAATTTTATCAAAATTGTAATTTCTGACAAAGCGCTACAGCGCGATGATAGGAACAACAGAAAAACTTTTCATAATTCAAAATGCTAACATACAATAAATTATAGTTTTAAAAAACTAAAAAACAGGCTTTAATAACAAAAACTATAATGTAGAAAATAATTTTTATGTATAGGAGAGTATGTGTTACTAATTAAAATTTGTAATAATTCTCTTATTGGCATTTGAGAGTCCAACAGTCAAGTTTGAATAGTTAATTTGGAATAAAATCAATGTAAAAATAAAATTAAGGTATTATAAAAAAATTCAGTTTCAATAAAAACGCGTGGGTGCTTGAGATTAACTGTTAATTATTTTTTAGTTGCTATTTCTAAATCGGAGTTATGAGAGTATATTGATCTTATTCCAATTTAATTAGTGATACTTGGTTGTTGGACTTTCTATTGCAGTGATAGAAACTCTCCTATACTTGTTTTTAGTTTTTTTAAACTATAATTTATTTTCAGAAGTTTTAGTCTTAAAACGAGGTATTTTTTGTTTCATTTGTTTTAAATTCTGTCATTTTCAAACATTTTTCGAAATTTGCCAAATTTTTTAACATTTCCAAAACTTCAAATTATTATATATATTATAAGTTTCTGAAATTTCCAACTATTTTTCAAATTTTCAAATCAAAATTTTAACAAATTTCAATATTAAACATTTTTTAAAACTTTCCAACTTTTTTCACGATTATTGGGCTGTCATCGGCTTTTGATCCTGTGTAAATTTTCAAGTTAATTAGTTTTGTTGAAATTAGTGGAAATTAGGTTGAAAGACTCCGTTATATACATGTCAAGCTAATAAAAGCGTGGTAAAAAAAACAATAACATAGTTGAGCTGAGTTCGCGTGTTTAGTAAGCCTAGTCTTAGTAGTTGGAAACCCCAATGTCCAATATACGCTAACCTCGTAGTTCAAAAACTAATTAGAGTTACAATTTATTTGAGCTGCATTAAAAATGGTGTGTTAGTGGAAGAATGCGCCAGATTGATTTCGAAAAGAGGGGCGAAGGGCCGCTCTGTCATCGGCAATTGACACATTTGAAGAGCGGTGGTTATCCGGCAATTGGAATTTGAGGAGCGCGTGGGGATGTCAAAAAAATATAAGCGACCAATCTCGATTTATCTTATGACCCGCATCTTATGACCCTGGTACGATCAAGGCCAGTCTGGGGGCTTCATTTGCATTCAGCTGAAATGGCTGAGTCCTCAAAATATAATTTTTACTTATGTCCTTTGGAGCGCTGGATGCGATTCTCAGGGTCAAAAAATCCTTGAGTATCGTAGAGCTAAATTTAGGTAGAAAATTGGTAATTTAACCCCGCCTAGTTGTTGATCTAAAACTTTTTTATTTCGACGCAGACGCGTAAGCAAGACCCTAAATACCGAGGCACCGCGGCTGCTATAACGAGTTAAGTCTAAATTCAAAAAAAAAAATGTTACCGACTTATTTGTTGTTGTTTGAATCATTATTTCAATGCTTGTGTGAGAGAAATTGCAAGAAAGAAAAATATACTTAGCATTTATAATGACTGCAGCCGTATCCATTCAAGTATGTTGAAACAGTTGCCTGTTCAAACGCAAAACATTTGCTGCTGAATATATCTTGTAGGTGACTACGCCCATACCAGACTGACTAATTTCGCTTCAATCGAATGTGTTACAAAGGAATGTAGACCTTGATACCATTGGAAGGCCATATAAAAATCCAGTTGAATTTATTAGTATGATGTGTTATATCTTGGCGTGCAATTTACATGCTTTGTCTTTTAGCTTTTTGCTCATTATGTTGAAGTTTCCAAGAAAATCTATAAATACCGTAATGAAATACATAATCATTTAATTTTTTCATCGTCAAAGCTTAGAGCTTTTTGGAGCAAAATATTGTCGAGATTCAAATGTTATCAGAGGAAATTTTGCTACTCTTGCTTAATTAGCTGATTTTGAAAGTGTGACCCTGCTTTGGGTCCTCAAATACAGTAAATTGGTAGGTAATGAGAAACTGGATCACCTGGCAAAGCTAGGAGCTTGTGGATTATCGTGATAGTGATTGCTATTTTTTTTTATTTCAGAATCTCCGGATATAATAGGTTATTCCAAAGCCGGATAGTTAGTTGATAATGAGTAATGAAAATGCTTCGTTTAATAGCAAGTAGGTGAAAAATGGTTGGCTGGCCTTACAGTGGAAAACTTACTATATAGGGTGTCTCAATACTCAAGTACCACGTATTTTTAGAGTCAAAATAAGTCGATTGGATATGATTAACTTTTTATTTGTAGCAACACATTTTTTCAGATATTTTTGGAACCGAAAGTCCGTTTGGATGAAATGTGGAACACATGTTTTGCTAGACGTCTTGACATTTGACTTTACAAGAAATCCGAAAGCAGAAAGGTGAAAACTACCCACTTTTACGAAAATTATAGCAGAACGATTTCACAGTTCTCCCAACGACTCTTATTTTTTTTGTTTAAAAGATCCTTTTAATTAAGTTATTTTTATCTCTTATAAACGTAGGCCATCTCTCAAAAAGATGTCTTGTTTTATCAAGTGTTAAAAATCTAGTAGGCATCTAGTTGGCGGAAATGTCGGACGTGTCAGTGTCGTATTATGTTTGACAAGCTTCATAAAGCTTAAATTAATAAGTACCTAATGTTTGAGTAATTGTTAATAAAAACTACCCGAGATGACCTGCTTTATAGGAGACAAAAAAGGAAGTAAATAAAAAGATCTGCTAAACAAAAAAAATTCATCGGGAAAGTCGTCAAAAAATTCTGCTATTATTCATGTAGGTGTTGGGGTAGTTTTCAGTTTTCTCGATTCCTTTTGTGTTCTTTGTAAAAATCAAATATTAGAACGCAAAACCTATGTATTCCAACTTTCATTAAAATTGGACGGTTCTTGAAATATACTAAAAAATGTGTGTTAAACTTTGACGCCCTCCAATGGGCAAACGAAGCACTTTTGCATGGGGGTTATTTTGATCCAATAAATACTGTGGACTTATACTTAATATGTACATTAGATATCCGTCTCACATTGGATAAGCGTATTCATACCATTCTTGTCTTCTGTAGCAAGGCAAAAATATCAGCATTAAACATCTCCAAATCTGTATATATATTATGAAAATTGTTGCCTATAGAAGAATTTTTGACCTTCCGAATTCGCATCCGTTTGCCTCTCGCGGCTTATGGTAGCCAGGTTTAGAGACGGCTGATATCGTTACTTCTTGATGTTATAGTCAACGCCAAACAAAGTGGCGTGCACGTCATCACGATAAAAATTCCCCGACCTAATGCCTAGGTTTCTATCACAAACAATTGCTCTATTGCAGTTTCATATTAATGTGATATATAAATTGTAAAATGGTCATTACTCTCTTATTATGGTTAATAGTCATATAAACATTGTTATTAAAATATCACATAAGTTGCTTTCTGATAAATTTAGACGCATTATGCGAAATAAAATGTTTTGCAAACGCTCCAATCACTTATCGACATGTAAACGCACTAAACCGATTTCGCAGCGTTGACACATTGTCACCTTGAAACTTATTTAAACTGGGAACTGACATTTGTATTAATTTTGACACTGAATCAATTTGTGGCATTTCAAATCTTTATAAATCCTTTGGCCCCGCATACTGTAAATCAACAACTGTTTGTTTCAAAACAAAATTATTCATTTTACGAGTAGATAAAGGCAATTTTGGTATATAAAGATGCCCAAACAGTTAAATAGTCGGTGTAAGGAACTCGTGGCCTCGTTAATGCACTACTTTGAGCAAGAAAGGGACAACAACGGGCCTTTGTTGCCTTTAAATGCTGTTCAAGAGGTAGGTTACTAATAATTATATGTAATGTATATTAATAATAGTGAAATTTTATTTCATTTTTTGTAGCGTGTTGCTGCTGCTTTAAAAATTAGTTTAAGGACAGTTAGTCGTATTTCCGAGGGTGTGAAAAGTGATGCAAATTTAGAATCGCCCAAGAAAAAGCGGAGTTATATTAAACGTGTAACCAACACAGCGACATTGGATACAAGTGTCATTCGAGAAGTGATCTATAATATGTATCACAAAAGTAAGATCTTATTATAATAACTTATCAGAAATTTGCATTAATTTGTTAACTAAATCATAATGTCATATTACACATGGTTTCAGAAGAACAAGTTACGATACAAACTTTATGGTCTCGATTAAGAGATAGGGCATTATTTGATGGTAGTGCCACGTCTTTAAGGCGGTTGCTTAGAGGTCTTGGATTTAAGTGGCTTAAGGACAATCCGCGACGAGGGCTCATGGAACTACCAAGTATAGCTTTGAAAAGGGTGGAATTTCTAAGGCAATACAATCAAGCCAAGGTTGAGGCCTTATACCAGTTTGTCTTCCTCGATGAAACTTGGATATTTCAAAATGGGACCATAGGTCGCTCTTGGCAAAATGGAAACCAAAAAAGCGTGAAAGCTATTAAAACAGATGGTAAAAGGTATGTACTTTTACACAATTTGCACTATAAAATTTAAAACTAATATATTTTAGATACATTATATTACATGCTGGAAATGAAAATGGGTTTATTGAGGGTAGTGAAGCGATATTTTCTTCGAAAACAAAATTAAGCGATTACCATGGAGAGATGAACCAGGACAATTTTTTTGAAATGGTTTCAACATCAGTTATTAGAAAAATTGGAGAGTCCATCTATGATTATACTGGATAACGCCCCTTATCACAGCATGATATTG